TTTTTTTTTCAAATACCTCTCCAGGTTCATAAAAATATTAATGGACTGAAATAATTGTTTTCTTAAAGGCTATTATGCCTCAATTGTAGATAATCTCATATTTCTTCTCATCTCCCGTGATCCCACCTACCAATTTTTGTTGTGTGTTATTATAGCATAATTATAACATTTATTTGTTAGTCTAGTCTATCATTAGGCTTTAAAAAACATTAATATGACGAAAGACAAGAAGAGGGAGTTAATCTGTATTAATGGATACTAAAGAGGCCTGATAACTAAATGCAAAGAATGCTCTTTCATTAGATCATAGATTTTAAAACAACTTTGAAGGATGTCATTGGAACTATAGGGAGAATTAGAATATGGACTTTATATTAATGTTTTTGTAGCATTGTCTAGTGGTGTGATGATATTGTTGTTTGTAAAATGTCCTTATTACAAGAGACACATGTTGAAGTAAGGTTGAAGTAATAACTTAAAAAAACTTAAGAAAGGCAAATAGCTATACAAAGACAGTCAAACCCACACATACTTAGATAAGGCAAATGAAGGATATATAGTTATTTATCGCACAAATGTTTTTTGTAATTTGGACTGGGCTTAGCTGGGCAAATCTGCCAATCTTGCTTGGCCTTATTCATCTAGCTGTAGTCCTTCAGTGGCTTTGCTGTGGCAATCAGTCTAAGATGTCCTCATCGTTATGTTTGTGTCTTGATATTGGTTGTTGGCAAGGAATTTCTTTTCATGTCACTCATCTAGGCCATTGGAACATTCTAAAAGGCTGAAAGTAGAAGTTGTAAGTCCTCTCCAGATCTTTGCCATCTTCTGATTTCTGCCCTAGCTTTTTAGCCACAAACCTAGCCTCTCCTTTTCTCTCTTATATTTTCATAATTTTGTTTTCTAATTACATTTTTATTTTATTTCTTCTTTCAATTGTATTTGGGTAAAATTCTAAATTTCTTTTGTTGCCGAGAGTTAACAGAGCCCATCCATGTTTATAGTGTTTTTTGTTTTGTTTTGTTTTTGGTACTGGGGATTGAACTCAGGGGCACTCGACCACTGAGCCACATCCCCAGCCCTCATTTTGTCTCTTCAGTAGAGTACAGGATTTAAGAAGTCAATGATTTTTGTCGGTTTTGTTCACGGTTAGATACTTTATACCTAAAATAATGCTTGGCACATAGATTTAGTAAAATGTTTGTAAGATAAAAAGGTGGTTTAATCTTAGCATGTTTAATTGGTTTGGCGACAGATCCAGTACAGGAAGAGGCTGTAAGTCTTAAAGGGAATAAGTAGCAGAGTATCAAGATCTCTGAGGAGGTAGGAGTGTATTGTCTCTTTAGCACAAATGGAGGGTATATTTTGATGGATTCCTTCTGATGGGAGGATGCAGAGGAGGAAAAAAAGATGGGTAAGAATGCAAGTAAATTTGCAGATTTGGTGGTGACATGTTGAGATAATCAAAAGGTTTTACTTTCTCTATGGATGAGAGATGGTATCATATGTTAAGTAATGGGGGGATGGCAGTGGTCCTGGAAATTTCCAGAAGAGTATAGAAAGGGAAAGAAGGCTGGAGAAAGGGAGGAAAGAAACAAATGACTAGAGAAACAAATAGGGTTGATAGGATTGACTAACAGTGTTGAGGGTCTAGCTAAGGAGTATAACCATGAATTTGTGGGAGTATCATTTTCTTTCTTTAAATGTTTTATTCTTTTTAGTTATACATGACAGTATAATGTATTTTGACATATCATACATACATGGAGTTTAACTTCCCATTCTTGTGGTTATACATAATATGGAGTTGTACTGGTTGTGTATGTACATATGAACATATGCCTGATTCATTCTACTGTCTTTCTTATTCCCATCCATACTCCCTTCCCTTCATCCCCCTTTGTCTAATCCAGTGAACTTCTAACCCCCACCCTTCAACACCCCCATTATTGTGAGTCAGCTTCTGCTTATCGGAGAGAACATTTGGCCTTTAGGTTTTGTTATTGGCTTATTTCACTTAGCTTGATAGTAGTCTCCAGTTCCATCCATTTACTGACAAATGCCATAATTTCATTCTTCTGTATGGCTGAGTGTTGTGTATATGTACCATATTTTCTTTATCCATTCATCTGTTGAAGGGCACCTAGGTTGGTTCCAAAGATTAGTTATGAACTCTTACAAACATTGATGTGGTAGCATCATTTTCTATATAATGATTATTCTACGCAAAGCTTTTCTTTTCCAGGGCAGCAGAATGTTGGATAGAACAGATTCATAATGTCTGTTGCCATTATCAGAAATTATTCTTCATTTTGAAAAGTTTTTTTTTCTTTTAGCTAGCTGTCTCTGTCTTTGTAGAATAGTATTGTTACCATAAAAGATGCCATTAAAATTGTGTCCTTAGTATGATACCCCACACTCTGAACATACTTGTGAAGTACCTAATTTGATAGGTGAGTCTTTGTAAGTTTCTAACTTGACCACGTCTTACAAAAGCATGTAGGAAGAGCCATTATTTGTTGTATGAGTATTCTGTTCTGTAAATGGTTCTTGATGTCGTTTTACTTATTCAAGTTGCCATTTGGGTTAATTAAAAAATAGTTCCGTAGAAGACTTAAACCTGGTATTTCTTTTTTTTTTAAGGGGCAAAGAGGCCTCGAGTCACATCTGGTGGTGTGTCAGAGTCTCCTGGTGGATTCTCTAAGCATATTCATTCCAATTTGGACTTCTCTCCCGTAAGCAGTGCTTCTAGGTAAGACTGATAAAAGATTAAGTAGYTATTGAAGTATTCTTCATGAAGAATAATACATGTATATATGTATTTTTAAAATAATGAATATAATTTTGTCAGTGCAMGAATGGTTGATATAAGAAAAGCCTGGTGGGTTTTACTTAAAAGCATATATTTGGCTGGGCATGGTGGCATAAGCCGGTAGTCAGTCCTAGCTACTCTAGAGGTAGGAGGATAACAAGTTCAAGGCCAGCCTGGGCAACATGGCAAGACCCTATCTCAGAAAACTAACTAATTAAAAATTAAAGCTAGGCATGGTGGTGCACACCTGTAATCCCAGTGGCTCAGGAGGTTGAGGCTGAGGATCACAAGTTCAAAGCCAGCTTCAGCAACTTAGCAAGGTAGTAAGCAACCTAATGAGACCCTGTCTCAAAATAAAAAATAGAGGTCAGGTGGTGGAGAGTAGAAATTCAGTGGATTAGACAAAGGGGGCTGGGGAATAAGAATAGGAATCCTAGACAATAGAATGGATCTGACATAACTTTCCTAGTATATATGAATACACTACAGTGAATCTCCACATCATGTACAATCACAAGACTGGGATCCTAATTAGAATAAGATATACTCCATGTTTGTATAAACATGTCAAAATATACTCTACTGCCATTATATCTAAAAAGAACAAATAAAATTTAAAAAAAAAAATAAAAAGGGCTGGGGATGTTGCTCAGTGGTTAAGTGCCTCTGGATTTAATACCAAAAAGAATGAAGAAAAGAATAAAGTCATTTACTTAAAAAAAAAAATTAAAGACATATTTTCCTTTCTCTTAATGTCTTAGTGAAGAAAATGTGAAGTATTCCAGTTCTCAACCAGAACCACGTACAGGGCTTTCCTTGTGGGACACCAGTCCCTCATAYATTGATAAATTGGTACAAGGAATCAGTTTTTCCCAACCGGCATGTCCTGATCATATGCTTCTAAATAGTCAGTTACTTGGCACCCCAGGATCCTCACAGGTAAGGGAATTTCCTTTTTTAAGTAAATAATGGTTGTCCTTTATTTTTATTGTCTTGAAGTCTTTTAAAATGTGGAAATCTTAGATATATAGTAGTAATACTTTTGATTTATACATAGTTTTTGGACAAGGAAGAAAGAATGAATTAGAGGACACCTTCATGGAAAAGAATTCTAAATCACAGAAAAAAAAAAAGCTATGTTGTGACTGCTGTTGGTCTTAGTGGGCTTACTCAGCTTTCTGTTTGGCACATAGAACCCTTGGCAACGCTTGGTCAAAAGAATGACACGATTCTTTACCAAATTGGATGCAGACAAATCTTATCAGTGCCTGAAAGAGACTTGTGAGAAACTGGGCTATCAATGGAAAAAGAGTTGTATGAATCAGGTATGTTGATTTTCATATATCTTTTCCTGCAGAAAATTCAATATGTGAATATAAACTCTCATCATTAGTATCTTCCAAAAATAGAAAGCAGTTTAATTTGAAAAAGAAAGAGTTGAAATTGGAGGAATTTTCAATAAAATGTTCATGATTTTAAGGAATAATATGGTTTTTTTTTTTTTCAAATACCTCTCCAGGTTCATAAAAATATTAATGGACTGAAATAATTGTTTTCTTAAAGGCTATTATGCCTCAATTGTAGATAATCTCATATTTCTTCTCATCTCCCGTGATCCCACCTACCAATTTTTGTTGTGTGTTATTATAGCATAATTATAACATTTATTTGTTAGTCTAGTCTATCATTAGGCTTTAAAAAACATTAATATGACGAAAGACAAGAAGAGGGAGTTAATCTGTATTAATGGATACTAAAGAGGCCTGATAACTAAATGCAAAGAATGCTCTTTCATTAGATCATAGATTTTAAAACAACTTTGAAGGATGTCATTGGAACTATAGGGAGAATTAGAATATGGACTTTATATTAATGTTTTTGTAGCATTGTCTAGTGGTGTGATGATATTGTTGTTTGTAAAATGTCCTTATTACAAGAGACACATGTTGAAGTAAGGTTGAAGTAATAACTTAAAAAAACTTAAGAAAGGCAAATAGCTATACAAAGACAGTCAAACCCACACATACTTAGATAAGGCAAATGAAGGATATATAGTTATTTATCGCACAAATGTTTTTTGTAATTTGGACTGGGCTTAGCTGGGCAAATCTGCCAATCTTGCTTGGCCTTATTCATCTAGCTGTAGTCCTTCAGTGGCTTTGCTGTGGCAATCAGTCTAAGATGTCCTCATCGTTATGTTTGTGTCTTGATATTGGTTGTTGGCAAGGAATTTCTTTTCATGTCACTCATCTAGGCCATTGGAACATTCTAAAAGGCTGAAAGTAGAAGTTGTAAGTCCTCTCCAGATCTTTGCCATCTTCTGATTTCTGCCCTAGCTTTTTAGCCACAAACCTAGCCTCTCCTTTTCTCTCTTATATTTTCATAATTTTGTTTTCTAATTACATTTTTATTTTATTTCTTCTTTCAATTGTATTTGGGTAAAATTCTAAATTTCTTTTGTTGCCGAGAGTTAACAGAGCCCATCCATGTTTATAGTGTTTTTTGTTTTGTTTTGTTTTTGGTACTGGGGATTGAACTCAGGGGCACTCGACCACTGAGCCACATCCCCAGCCCTATTTTGTATTTTATTTAGAGACAGGGTCTCCCTGAGTTGCTTAGTGCCTCAATTTTGCTGAGACTGGCTTTGAAGTTGCAATCCTCCTGCCTCAGCCTCCTGAGCCGCTGGGATTATAGGTGTGCACCACCATGCTTGGCCTTATAGGGTGTTTTGGCTTGGACACACATGCACATCTATGGGGAATTAGATTTTCACATATTTGATACTACTTGTTATGAAACTACCCTGTATGTTTTTATCATAGAAGTGTCACTGACATGAGCATTTGGTTTTTGTTTAATGGCTAATCTAATTTTTTTGCTGCAGGTTACTGTATCAACAACTGATAGGAGAAATAACAAACTGATCTTCAAAGTGAATTTGGTAGAAATGGATGAGAAGATATTGGTTGACTTCCGGCTTTCTAAGGTATTTTTGATATATTTCATTATAGTATTCTTTCTATGGGAATATTTCTATATGGATATATATATATATACACATATTTTTTTTTTTTTTTTTGGTGGGGGGGTATCAGGAATTAAACTCAGGGGCACTTGACCATTGAGCCACATCCCCAGCCCTATTTTGTATTTTATTTAGAGATAGGATCTCACTGAGTTGCTTAACACCTTGCTTTTGTTGAGGCTGGCTTTGAACTTAACAATCCTCCTGCCTCAGCTTCCTTATCTGCTGGGATTACAGGCTAAATGGATTTTTTTAAATGGCAATATTTATACAATAGTCTCCCCACTTGCACTTTTGCTTTCTGCAGTTTCAGTTTCTCTCTTTTTTTTTTTCTTGAGGTCACCCATACCCCAAAAATATTAAATGTAAAGTTCCAGAATTAAATAATTCGTATTTAAATTGAGCATAGTTCTGAGTAGCATGATGAAATCTTGCATTGTTCTACTCCATCCCACCTGGGATAAGAGTTATGTATTCAGCATAAAAACCTTAAGTATAGATTTTTATTCATGCCAAATACAGTACTTGTCTRTTACTCACTTATTATCTTTTCTAGTTATCACATTGATTTTCATAGTACTGCAGTGCTTATGTTCAAAGAATGCTTATTTTACTTAATAGTGGCCCAAAGTACAAGGGTAGTATGGTTATACTTGCTCTAGTTTAATACTAATTATATTAATCTCTTACTATGTCTTATTTAGAGACTAAACTTTATCATAGGGATGTGTTTGCATATATACATACAGAAAGAAGAATGCACATGGTGGATATAGTATAGGGTTTCATACTCTCCATGGTTTCAGGGGGTCTTAGAATGTGTGGATAAAAGAGAACTGTTTATTTGGCATTTGTAAATATATGGTAACTTGCTTTGTTCATTCAGTATTATGAACTTAGTTAGATTTTCACATATTTAATACTACTTGTAACTACCCTGTATGTTTTTATCATAGAAGTGTCACTGACATGAGCATATGGTTTTTGTTTAATAACTAATCTTATTTTTTTGCCTCAGGTTACTGTATGAATAACTTTTCATTGTCTCTTCTTCCAAAACATGATTTTTTGTAATTGATATTTATTATAAAAGTTTTTTATAGAAATGTAGATTAATATGAAAATAAAAATAATCCCAAATTATGCTTCTTAGCAGTAATCACCCCTAATATTTTGAAACATTCTGKTTTTTTTGGTTTATTTGYAATGTTTAGTTTTTTAATATTATAATTAATAATAAATGTACATCATAATATAATAGATTCTTCTTTGATATAGTAATTMTGATTTTTTTTCTTATACATTGATTTTTTTATATATTGATTTTTTTTTTTCCTTTTGGTCACATTTCTGATTATTTCTATTTTTAAAGCTCTTGACATGTAATACCAAAATAGCATTTTTTTTCTCTTTCCTGAGATATTGTTGTATGTGGTTCTGAAGAAGGTTGGGAGGGTGTAGTTCTGTATCTCCAGATCTGTACTTATATTTTCAAAGGGTCTGACCAGTTTTTTGKTTTTTTTAAAGTTTTTAAAAAAATATTTTTTAAAAATATTTATTCTTTAGTTGTAGTTGGACACAATATCTTTAATTTATTTATTTATTATTATGTGTTGCTGAGGATCGAACCCAGGGCCTCGCCCGTGCTAGGTGAGCACTCATCTGCTAAGCCACAACCCCAGCCCTAGTTCACATTTTTTTATATTGAACATTTGCTACAATATTGTCTTCCAGATCCTTGCTGTGAAATTTAAATTGTGAAGGATTGTATTATATTGAAATCCTTCTCAGAGCTGAATCTGTTGACTTCATTGCCATAGAATAATGACAACACTTGACTGTCCTTGTGGGTTTATTTCAAGTTTACAAATTCCCACTACCTTTGAAAACAGTGGTTCAGAGATACTAACCTTTAATACAGGCCTGATGTATTTTCTTGCTCTCTGAGCTCAGTATGGTGGGAATACTGAAGAGCACAAAATTGGGTCAAAATTATTTATATAGTCATTTTCTCTGCTAGAATATTTGGTTTTTATAAGAGCACCTGAAAAGTATTGTAGCTGGACATATCTGAGGTGTTTGTTTCTATTTCCTAGTAAATAATCTTTTTTTTTTTTTGACATTATTTTTATATATCATTCTTGCTATAGGGTGATGGTTTGGAGTTTAAGAGACACTTTCTGAAGATTAAAGGGAAGCTGAATGATGTTGTGAGCAGCCAGAAGGTTTGGCTTCCTGCCACATGATCGATCCATTATCTCTGGGGATTCCTGGTGAATATAGTGCTGCTATGTTGACATTATTCTTCCTAGAGAAGATTATCCTATTCTGCAAACTGCAAACAATAGTTCCTGAAGAGTTCTCTTCCCCTTTATCCAAACATCTTCCCATTCATTGTATGTTTTGCATACAAATAATAACTATATCTTAATTGTCATAATTTGGGGGAAGGGATGGGTAGAATTCACTAGATATTTCTTTAGCAGTGTTTATTATCTGAATTTGAAATCCATCTGGTGAAAACCAGGTTTTGGGATACCTGACTTTATCAGCTSTTATACCAACATAATATTCTATTTTTACTAAAACATTTTGATACATCCAACATTCYACTGATTTAATTATAAGGATAAATTTGTAAAGACTTGCCCTTGTGACTTTTGGATACACAAGTAGATTTATCAGTCTATGAGGTGGAAGCCAGCTTCAAAAAATGTTATCTCCAGATCTGTACTTACATTTTCAAAAGGGTCTGACGAGTTATTCAAACCTGTTTTTAGTTATAACGATTAATTAAAACTCCAAGTCTGTTTTTTTCTGGTGTAGCTAGTAACATATAAAATGCTAATTGGTCTTTCAAGAAGTTAAGCATAAACCATAGTGCTTAACTAACTTTACTCAAAAATTAATGTTGCACATCTTAAATATTTTCTATATTATTTTCTACTYTTACAGCCGTATTTTAATTCTTTACTATGGAAATAAATTCTATTTTGAAAATGAATATCTAACTCTGTGAACTTATTGGTGAGCCAGGCTTTTAGGTAATAAGGAATAGAAGAGGGAGGGAAGAGTATGGAAGCTATCAGAAATAGATCAGATTCCTGCTTTCTTTATCTGTTATATTTACTAAAACTTTATTTTTAAAATAAAATTTATATTAACTTCTGAATAAATGGGTTGGGGTCCTATATTGCTTTTTCTAGATAAATTAAAAAATTAATCAGTATCTCAGTCTGAAGAACATGTAAAGTTTTATGGTTAGAGTGTATCACATATTAGTAAATACTGATATTGTGTTAATGGCAGCATACCCAGAGGAGGAATAAATTTGAACCTATTTTATTTATTTGAACCTATTTAAGARTTAAGCCAATACATTCCCAAGTATGGGAAAATTGCTGTTCTTGAGAATTTGCTGCCAGTCATTATTATCTATTAAAAGTTTTCTTATTTTGAGCTCTTTCCTGAGCTCCTCCCTTTGATAGCCATCACCTTTGACATTTCCACTTGAATATCTAATAGGCRTGTCATGACCAAAAACAGCTTTTGTTAATTCTTCCAACCGGTTCCCCTTCCAAGTTCTCCCATCTCAATAAATGTTACTTATTTTTTCATATTAAGGTATTTTTTAATTGGTTCCTAATAGTTATACTTTACATTAGGATTTATTTTGACATAAATAATGGATTACAGTTTGCTCTAGTTAAGTAAGTCCCCAGCACTTTAGCCTTACCCTCTACTTCCTCCTTCCCTCTGTTCTATTTCCTGTACTGATCTTTTTATTTATTTATATTTTTTTAAAAATTAGTGTCTTAAAAAAATTAGTGTCTTGTGAGTATATATAATGATGAGGTTCACTGTATATTTATATATATGCATTGGAAAATTAGGTCAGATTCTTTCACTATTTTTTCTTTTCCTCCCCCTCAATCCCCTTCTCTCCTGATCTTTCTTTTATTTTGATGGAATCCCCCCATTTTTCTCTTTTTCTCCCTCATCCCTTACTTTYAAATCCTAGTTCCTTAAGCCAAAACCCTAAAAATTATCCTTAACACTTTTTTTTCATATTCTATTTTTGATTCAGCAAATCCTCTTTAATTCAGCAAATATGTTCAAAATATATTGTTTCACACATCTGTACCACTCTAGTTGAATACAGTCATCTTTTTATAGAATCCCTCAGCGTTATTTTTTTGAGAAAGTACTCTTAGAGATCCTTATAAAAATGTGAATCAGATGTCCCTTCCTTGCCCTCAATTCTCATGTCTTTTTATCACACTTAAAATTCAAGATTCAAAATTATGTGTGAGTTATTCAGCTTTATGTGATTGTCCTGTGACCACTGGTTTCATCTATTGCTCAGTTGGTTCATTCTGCTCTCACTCCTTCAGCTAGGTGTTCTCACAAGATGAGCATATTCCCTGCTCAGGGACTTTTACTTGTTTTTCCTCTGCCTTGAGGATATATGTGTGACTTGTGCTTCACTTTAGGTCTCTGCTTAAATGTCATTTTCTCTGCAAAGTCTTTCCCCTAACTTATCTAAAAATAATACTCTTCTCTGTCACTTTCTTTTTAATTCTTTTTATTGTGGTGCTTTTTACCTGACAGGATATTTTTATGTTTATTATGTTTCTCTATTGGAATATGTAATATATAAGCAAGGTCCTGGAAGTCAGGGACCTTGTCCTCCCTGTTCAATTCTATATCTTTGGCAYCTAAAACAGTGCTTGTTACATTACAGTATGCAGAGTTGATCTTATCTATTCTAAAAAAATGTCCAAAAGCTGTCCCGTTGTCTCCATTTCTGTTATTTAAGCTCATTCACATCCTCCCTGAATTTCTATATTTTTATCATTGCCCAATCTCCTTCCCTTAAACGTTTTTTTTTCCTTTACATAATCCCTAGGTTTTTTTTCTTGTTGTCATTGTTGTTTTCTGTTTTTTTTTTTTTTTATATAAATTTTACTGTGACCTTCTCTTGATTAAAAACCTCTCATGGCTTCYATTGCCACTCTTATTATGACCTACCTGACCTTACATGATTCACCCTCTATCCTCTTTGTTTACAGGACTCCAAACAGAGTTGCTTTCTTTCTGTTCATTCACAAGGCCCATTCCTCTTAAGGGCTTTGCTTACTGCCTTTCTTTCTGTTCATTCTGTTCAATCACAAGGCCCATTCCTCTTTTTTTTTTTTTT